AAACCGCAGTGTACTACGTGGGAGTCCAGCGACATAGCCATTACGCTAACTGCTGGGTCCCAGTCCTTGATCATTTTTCTAAGAACAATAAAAATCTATTGACATAAACATTGATGGTTGAGTAGATCACTTGTGATAAGAACTTATACTATTCAAAGATGAACATTATTGTCTTAAAAGACTGTCTCAAACTTAGATGGCTTAAATAAGAAGACTTTATTGAAATCAAAACCCAACACTTATACTACGTAGTCTAAAGGATCCTGTAACGAGCAAATGGATTCCTGGGAATGTAACTAACTAATCTATATGTTATAACACTGCTATGAATTCCGGTGCTGGAGCAAACATCAGTGAGAGCAGACTGCATCGGTAAGTGAGCAGCAGCTGGACTCACAGTGACAATCACAGTCACGTTAGAGAGGCCTCCCAGGAGTGGCCTGCTGGGGCTGGGGGTTCAGGGCCTGCTGCCATGAGACTTGAGTAACCCTGTAAAAGACCCTGGGGTCTCTAAGCCCTCAGAGGGTAACCCCTCTTAAGGGGACCTGGTGACCCAGGGGACGCCCAGACACTTTCAGGACCCAGTGGGCTGCAGGTGGAGCTGCGGGAACAAACGGGCAACTCGGGGAAGGCTGGGCCCTGAACTCCATGTCAGGAGGAGCCTCCTGCTGTGCTCGTTCTCGCCCCGCAGCTCCATGAGCTTCCTCTCTGCCAACATGGCCGCCGACCATCTGTCCTGGAGTCTCTTCTCGTAGAAGCGGAGATGCTCCTCACAGGAGGACGTGGTGGCCTCCAGTTCCCTCTTCACGTCTGCGACTACCTTCCTGTGGAAGTTGCGAACCTTCTCGGTGCAGGCCCTGTCTGCAGGTCCCCGTCCAGCTCTGAGCAGCGTTCTTCCTCGTTGGTGGCCTCTCTCTGCAGCTTGGTCATGTGGTCTCCATGTAACTTGGGCAGGGTCTCCAGCCTCAGCTCAAGGTTCTGATTGTCACTGTCCAGCTGGACGTTTGCAAGCCGCAGAAATCCCTGCTCAGTTTCCAGACGCTGAATCTGTGCTGTGAGCTCCTCTATCATTGCACTTCCTTCCCGGAGCTGTCTGGCCATCTCCACGTTGTCTTGGCGGTCACAGGACACATGGACGTCCCCTTCATCAATGACACACTTCAGGTCCACATCTGACAGATAGATGGAGTGACTGGCATTTCCTTCTCCCCTCTTTAGCTCCTCTTCTGCGTTCCCGTGATCCCCAGGGAGATCTGGAAAGGCGATGTCCATAAGCAAGTTTCCAGCCCCAGCTTTGGGTTGGCACAGGGAGTCCTGGGTGAGCTGTTCTGTTGGTGCCTTCGAGAGATCCGACCTTTCTCCTTCCTCCTTCCTTTCCCAGGCACGTGGCTTCCATTTCTCAATTTCTTCCTCTAGCACGTGGGCGTTTTTGTTCAAATGTTCTTTTCCTTTCTTCGGGAGGTTTTCTCTGTTCTTTGGCCTTTCTAACACACGTCCTGTGTCTGTCTGTCACCTGGGAAGGATCAAGAGGTTCCCATTTCCCAGCTTCCTCCAGGGAGTGGGCAGCACCGGACATGAAATGCAGCAGATTGTTC